ACGCAACCCTCCTCATTTATCCGGGCTTGGGACCGGCACTAAGGGCTACAAACCCCTTGTGGTTGAGTTAAAGCGAATGACTGTTACCACACATCATCTGATGATCATTCAAAGCCGTCACTTATCCACGGAGTACATAAAAAGGACAATAAAGTTCAAAATTCATTTTAAAAGACCAACTCTTCGAGAATGTGCTGCATTCTGACTGATGGAAATATTAATATACCAAAAAACTGCTTGCTATCAATCACACTGATATGCAAGCTGATTGACACGAATAAAAAAGCTACAAAAAATAATTAGCCAAGAAATGAGAAGAGACGAGAAACGATTACATGAACTTAACGAACGCATAGTTCGTTATCAAAGCTAATCACTTTGAAATCATGCATTTCGTTTGCAGCAAAAAGCACATACAAATAAATATATAGGTAAATTGTGTGCAAAAATCTATGGATTTTTTGCAAACTACTGAATTTCAGCTACAAGGCGATATACATCTTCTTTGCTAATTATTCCTCTCAGGACAGAGAGAATTTCAAATACTCCGGTGTATACCAATTGTGACTATTAAACGTTCCCACTGCTCTCGCCAAGAGGCATAACCTCGTAACTTAACAANCCAAACAGAAAAATGTCGAGTACAACTTTATTGCCGTCTAATCTGCTCATCACGTTTCGTCCTCTCGGAACTGCACTACAAATGATTTTGAACTTTGCGGATTTTGAATGACAATCGGATGATTGCTGTGTTGCTACGTTGTCTCATTAGCGGTGACGTTGTTTGATGATGTGCCACATATCATAATCCATTTCTCACTGAAACATCGAGCGGGCGAGAGAGAATGAGAGGATTTATGAGTGAGAAATAATCATTTCGGTTGTTTCATGTGCACGGAAGATTTTGACGGGAATCTTGTATTTTAGGTTGGTGAAATGGAGATTGAGTTGACTCAATAATGATGAATGTTAGCATTTCAGCCAAATGATTTATAATAATTGGTTGTTTTTTCACATAAGCGAGGCGTTTCTTCTTTGTTTGCTGTAAGGTGATGGTTTTTGTTTTTCTCTTCAAAATTTTTATTTTACAGTTTTCATTGAGGACCATTGAGAAACAGTTCGAGGATATTTTTCCATCCCTCTGTTATATATGATCGAATTTGATTGTAATTGGAAGAGTGCTAAACGTTAATAAAATCGATAAACTTTAAAACTTTAAAATCGATTGCAACGTTGGCAGCGTGATTGTTTTGTTGTCACAATTCGTAAGCGCCGTTAATGATGAGTCAATCCGTGAACGAATCGGCTGATCACTTGCAATTCAAAATTCAGATTAATAAACAGTACGATGCTAAGTTGTTGTTTCCCACCTCTTCGAATGTGTCTTGAGTGTGTACAAGGACCTAGTTTTACGGCCACACAAAGCTATGCTCAATTTCATGATGAACTTCAAACTATACGACTTGACACCTCTCACATGGGTTCGTTNGTTCGTTTATGCTTCATGATTACTTCAAATTACTATCACTATGGCTATCACGATTCAAATTATTGTCAAAATAATTACTGTTACTTTATGATTACTTCAAACATCTGTTTGTTGGTTCGTTCGCTTATCGTGCAATGATATTCATCTGCATGCGTTAGTGGTTACCCTGAATAATCAATCATCTGATCAAATTTAGCTGTTTTCATTGGCTTCTTTACCATATAATCTCATCGGGAACGGATTAAGTCTTTGAGCGAATCAGTTGTGATCTGTTGTTCACTGTCACCATCAGTTGCTTTTCCTTCATGAATGAGTCGTTATTGAAATATTTATTCAGGTGATGATGTTGTCTTATTGAAAAATGGTCAGCGAATCTGCGGCACTGGCGGTGCATTGGCTACTGCACCAATCGTTCAGAATAAAGCTTACTTTCAAGTCAGTGTTCAACAATCTGGTTCGTTGCTTGTCTTCTTCCGGTGAATCTTTCCGTGACTTTTCAAGTAGTTATGCAAAAAAACATGTTGANAAGAATCTAATTGTAAAAATTTCCATCCACCACCGTATTTGCTTATAGCAAAGTTTAAACTGGCTTAATTAGCGTTGTTAATTAACTTATTTAGCGTGAATGGTAATGCTTCTTTCCCTACGAAATTGATTTGTTCCAATGTTACATCGTAACGGTGCATTCTCACTGAATCATCAATCTGAATGAATATATCTTAATTATTATCATTGTGGTGTAGAATTTATTCTTTTTACATTTTCTAACACATAGCTAAGTTATTCGCATCAAATCAACGTTGTCTTTCACGCTTTTTGCTAGTCTACTATTGCCGTTTTAGTCTTAAATCGTTCATGACACTGAAAGTTTTACACTGAGCAATTTTCTGTAAAGTGTTAAAAGATTTGCATTCAAAGGTATTTGGGGTATTGGCGTGGGCAATCGAACGGTGGATTTAAACACGATACCGATATCGAAAAATAGTTGGATGTTGAGGCATACTGGTGAGGTGGTTTGTAATGAACAAGTTATCGATAAATTGCTGGAACCTGTCGAAGAGGGAGATTGCATTGTATGTGTTTTTCATTTTGTTTTTTTTTTCGTTTCTTAGTCTTGTTACTGAGATACAGTCGCCAAAAAAATCATTTTGACTGCGTGAGCTTAAACATTGCGTTGATTAAGTGGGCTACCAATTTGTTCATCGGCTAAATTTCGTTACAGCATTATGTTACTGTATCTGTCCCAGTAAACCGTCCTCTGATGTTGGGGTGAAGTGGGTCACTAGATGGCGTTGAGCATGAATCGTTGTAGTAACGAAATAATGATAAGATGCAGGATTTGTTCATACCTTTACAAGAACTATATAAGTAATTTTTTATTTGCGTTCGTACAGGGTGTTGCATTCGATCACGTCGACTTGAAATTCTACAAAAATGGAGTTCAGTTGCCCGTTTCGATATCGAACGTAAAAGGCCAGGTACAGCAGCTCTTCACTGATTTTATGGATACGATTTGATTAGCAAAATAGTTTGATGTATTCAGCGATGCATTGAATGGTTTCATAATCAAAGTTTTAATTTTTGATCCATCTATCATCAGAAACAATACGATACGTATTGTTGATGCGATCATTTGACTGACATGTTTTCAAGGTATTCCCTCTGGTGTACGTTGACGACAGTGCCATACTCGATGTAACCTTCAGGCTGTTCTCTTATAACGCTCCGCCTGGTTATGAAGAAATTATGCTCGAACAAACATTGCTTTGAAATGTCCCCTTGTTACACTCATCCATATTTACGTATTTTTGTGCTCTCTTCTTTCTTAATTTTGCCCTTTGATATATTTATTTTGTCTTTACAACGATTCTTGTCTTTAAACATTCGGTGTATTCCAGTACTGACTGTGAGACATCAAAAGTCTTTTAAAATTTAAAGTAGCCTGTTCGACTTCCGTTAAGTCGAAGCTACTTCTCAAATTGTTGCTGCTGACTTACGCATTGCTCCGTTCCGCACTCGATTTGTCGTTTGAAATTCAAAGAATGGTTGGTTCGAAGAAACACTCTAAGAAGTGCTTAATAGTACCTCGGTATTATTTCTGGTTACGTGAAAGAATCTGATTTATTCAATTGATTTTGTGCTTTATTGTTCACTATAAACTCTTGAACATGGTGCTTCTTAACATTCTGCGCGTTATTCGATTTACTTTCAGATTTATTCTGTATTCACTAATCGTATTCAATGTGATCATGTCTTTATTAATATTCGACATTTTGATTTTATCACTTCAATACATGTACCGTGTCTGTTAAACTGATCCATTTTATCGCCATCAGCTTATTCGATTGATTTCCATGTTTAGGTAAATGATGAGTTATGTCTCAGTTTATGTCTCGATATGTTATTATGCATTAGATAATTCCCAGGTAATTGTAGCATGCAAAAGAAATGAATCTTCGATCCTCAGGCGACTTTCTTGTTAAATTTTCTGACTTTTCGTTGGTGAATGAGTAATTCTGTCAGCTCTCAGCTGCACTCATCAGTTTCCAATGGAAACTTTCAAACGATTTGTGCATTAAATTTTGGTAGTATGTAAATGGTAATGGCAATAAATTTCTCAATATTAAACGGTCCCTGGTGTTCCGTGCACGGTCACAAACAATCATGTGCACTCGTTACGCACCACAGAAACAATCGTTTGACTTGTTGAATCATTTCATCTGTAAGCCATCATGGCATCCATCGTAGGATTTGAATGAATTAACAAAAATGAACACCGTAAAATCTTTCCAAATGCAAGTGCAAAAAGGGTTAACGATGATGGAAATTAATTAGTAATGGATAGTGGGGAACTTGGAAGAAAATTGTACTGAATAATTTTTGAAGGTACTTTTTGAAATTGCACTGTTCTGATGCATTTCAGTAATCAACAACGACTTCACGAAAACGGTTCAATAATGAATACATCGCTGTGCTGCATCAACTGAATTATGTCGAATTTGTGCGAACTTCATTGTCAATTCTTGAGTGTAAACGAGACTGCTCATTGATACTCAAGAATTGACAATGAACATGTACTGATACTCAGCTGACATAAAAATTATATTGATTTTCAATTTTAATATATTATGAATTGGGACATTACTCATTCCGAGATCAGACGGATCTTTATAGATGTTGTTATGATGATATTTTATCGTTTTCTATGCTCATCAAAAAAAATGTTGCAAATAAGACTCTAATAGACAAAAGCATGACTGTGGTCTCTGGAAGGAAGTCTTAAGAAACAGGTATAGCCTAAAAAGAAACTCTATAAGCTTTATAATTGAATCTTCTCCTAGTGAGCTGACAAGAATATCGCTTTTTTTTCAGTTCGCTTTCTCATTCATTGGAAAGAACTAATGTTCATTTGTTGATATAACGGTGGATTTATAATCACCGTACATCAACCCGTTAGGCCACTGCTAACAGATGTGACCGCAAAGATGGTCGAATCGACTGTGAGACGTGACGAATGCGATAAGATTTTTTATGATAATCTCAACACGAAAGCTAGTGCAATCGATTAGTCGTCCATCAATATGTGGCATTCGTTACAATTCAATTACACATAAACCAAACAGTGAACTTCTTCTGTTCATCGTTCAGCGCAATTTTATCCTTTCAAAAAGCGAATAACAAATAAATTATTCACTGCATTATATGCAAAATAAAAATTCAATATGAACTTGACCAAATACAATCAATGAATGATAAGAGATATGAGAAGTGATGCAAATAACAAAGATACAAAAGTGGATACTTTGATCAAAGGAGCTAAACTGCTTTGAGAGAGAACA